TGCAACCCTCTGCCAGCAAACTGCGGGCAGCCCTCCTGAGCTCCGTTTTTGCTGACAGAGACACCACAGGCCAGTCCCTTGCTGTTTCCAGGGCGGCCAGAACTAACCACCGTGAGGGCTGGATCCGGCCCGGCAGGCCTTGATTTTGTCACCCCTGCTCTAGAATAACACTAACCTTTTTGGAGCCTCTCAACTAGAGTCTGAAGAAACCGCCTTGGAGAAAAGGAGTGTCAGGATGCTATTGTTCTTGAACAAAAGCAGCTGTTTTACCACAATTATATGCTTAATTGTGTGGGGAAACTGAGATAACCTGTAACAGCTATAAATTGAAAAATCCAACCACATTCCCATCTCAAACGTCGCCATAAAGCTCCTAGAATGAGGGAATTTAGGCAGTAATTGTATTATTGAACACTAAGCTGCCCCCTTTTAAAACCACCATGCAGTTTCCCACCTGTTCTAGCAGTCTAATAAGATTTAAAAGTTCTGGAATACATCAATAGTTGACAAAGGCTTCAAAACTGCCAAGATACAGTAGATGGGTTGTAAACAATGGCAGGTTCACTTAAATGTTCCCCTCCTCATTGTCAGCTATGCTAATCCATCTATAAACATAAAATGTGATTTGATTTATTCTGAAGTATAAACTCTATTAGAGTTCCAAGTGAAAAATAATGGCTTCTTTAAAGTATATTAAGCATGTCGTATTTTTTTTTTTAAAAGTCTCCTACTGCATTTTGCTTTTTCTTGTAGTTTCTCTATGTAGGGTCGAATTTTAAGTCCCTGACAAGCACTTCAAATAGCGCAAAGGCAGATCTTGCAAACAGGGACGCCACAGCCATGTCCTTCACTTTTATTTGTTAGAATAAAATAATTTATTTTCTCAAAAAGGGAAGAAGTGACAAGCCAGATTTTATATGGTAACCATATTTTCCAGAGTTACTGTAAATCCAAATAACTCTAGCGTTTATCACACTAATCTCCTTATGATGGGTGCAGGCACTTTGCTAATTGAAGTCATTCTGCACCATGGACTGTGAGAAATGATGGTTCCTAGAACATAAATATAACCAATATATAGCACAGCAATAACATATTTTACATAGAAGGAAATGCCCTAACTTGCCATTGGACTTTGATTAACTCAGGGATAAGGAATCTTTCTTTGCCATCAGAGTTAGAAACACCTAGGAGTACATTGTGAGCTTATGATAACAGCGACCTGGTTGTTACCATAACACCAAGATTCAAAGTCTATTGGTCCAACCTTTTCAATTGCATACATACTGTATATACCTGACCAGTGGTGGGATTTACATTTTTTTACTACCGGTTCTGTGGGTGTGGCTTGGTGGTGTGGCATGGCTTGGTGGGTGTGGCAGGGGAAGGGTACTGTAAAAACTCCATTCCCTCCCCACTCCACGGGAAGGATACTGCAAAATCCCCATTTCCTCCCCATCAGCTGGGACTCTGGAAGCAGAGAGTAGATGGGGGCAGGGCCAGTCAGAGGTGGTATTTACTGGTTCTTCTAACTACTCAAAATTTCCACTATTGGTTCTCCAGAACTGGTCAGAACCTGCTGAATACCACCTCTGTACCTGCCACATTCATGTTATGCACCGCCAGACAGTTCTCTCTTTACCCCTGCTATAGCATTGAAAAAGGACCTGCTCCTTCAGGAACCATCTCTTCAAAGCACTTCAAGCACCTTTAGAGGCAGTTGGATTTATCCCTCCTTCACCCAGATGGGAAATTGAAGGCCTAGAAAACTCCCTGTGGCACCTTGAATTGGTTGCTTATGAGAGAAACAATTTGTTTCTCCCTTCCACTTCTTGTCTGAGAGAGAAATTTAACAATCTTAGGGGTTCTTGCCTCCTTTCCATAGAAATAATTAAAACAGATAAACTACTTGACAGTTAGAACAATTAATCAAATTAAACAACCTGCCTTTAGAAATTGTAAATGTTCCAACACTGGAAGTTTTTAAGAAGAGATTGGATAACCATTTGTCTGAAGTGGTTTAGGATTTCCTGCCTAAGTAGGGGTTTGGACTAGAAGACCTCCAATGTCTTTTCCAACTGTTATTCTATTCTATTCTATTCTACTCTGCTCTGCTCTACTCTACTCTACTCTACCTAGATTCAGGGCTAACATGTACAGGTAGTCCTCGATTTATGACTGGTCACTTAGCGACTGTTTGAAATTACAATGAACTCTAAAAAAGTTACTAATCCAGATTTGAACTTCCAACAGCCACTACCCCCTCCAATCACATTCTGGGCACTCAACAAACAGCCCTTACTTACAGCTGTTTGCAGCATCCTGTGATCACATGACCACTACTTACAATCGTCTGTAGAGATTCTTTCTCATCCAGGTCATGGTTGTGCCAAAGGTGCTTTTTCAGGAGTCAACTGGACTTTCTTGTTTTTCCTTTGAAGACGTTTCACTTCTCATCCAAGAAGCTCCTTAAGATCTGACAGGATAATGATCCTTCCATTCCCCACTATCCTGTTAGAGCTGAAGAAGCTTCTTGAATGAGAATCAAAAGATCTTCAAAGAAAAAAACAGTTGCCTCCTGAAAAAGCACCTTTGGCACAACTTAAAAGGTTTTTTTTTCCAGATAGCGAACAATAAGTTTGCTTAATGATTGCCATGTTTGCTTTGCTATCTCCATGTTTGATTAACAACTGCACATAAAACATGGTATGGGGAATGTAATAGCCCACTTAATGAGCATCACAACTTACAACTATAATTGCAAGCTCAATTATAGTTGTAAATTGAGGACTACCAGTATGTCAATAAATGCTTTGATCTTTTCCAAAGGTTGCCTTTTCTTTCAATGCTCAATTATCCTTGAAATAAATCCTGAAGTTCATTTTACAGTGCAAGCTCTACCTACAGGCTCAGCTCTACCCCTACAGGCCAAGCTCTACTTGACAGTCCATCCCAGTCACCCACACAACCATACCCACAGTTTCAAAGCTGAAAATTAGATTGTGAGTTTTTAAAAAAAAATAAACTGCACCTGATGCCATCTTCTTCTCTGGGAAGCATCTTTCTGGGGTTTCAGCTTGACAATGCTGCAGACTTGACCAAGAGGCCAGGAGTACAGATTGGATAGAAGATGATTTTGACTCTGCACCTGTAAAATGCATGGAGCAAATGAGATACAGGTTAAACTAATATTGTTGATGCTAACTGGTGTATTTCACTAGGCCAGAAACAAAGAAAAGAAAGAAATCAGGTCCTTGTTACAATAGATCTGATTTGTCTCTTTTCTAATTGTGCTTGACTGAAAGTTCAGAAATACATCTCTGTCAACTATAGTTACTTATTTGTTTTAGTTCAAACTTCCTAGAAATGGGGAACTAAATGTTTAAATAAGTGAACTGAAACTAGTTCCATAAATTATGCTAATGTTCGGCATGCTACATTTTGCCACTGATATCAGCCTAATGGATAATTCTCATTTCTCACACACTGGGTTACTTTACATTTGATCTGGAATAAGTCCGAGCTAGGTGTGAGCAGACAATTTGACTAGGGGTGGGTCGCTGCAGGTTTTACTACCGGTTCAGCCAAACTAGGCTGAACTAGGAGCAACCCACCTCTGAATCTGACCATCCAGATTATTTCCATTGTATGTATAGATGTTCTTGTATTAAGCTTGATACCTTATTATTATACCTAAACAGTTTTTTTCCCTCTAGCGTTATAGAACTACTTTCCTACTGCCTTCTTCCAGCCATTTTTTAAACTTCTTGAGCCAGTCAATATCTCTTGGCTACCCAGGTAATCCCCAATCTAAGTACTAACTTTGTTTAATTTATGAAATCATGAAAGTCAGTTAGATGCTGCCAGTTGCATTCCCTTAATCCTTCATGTCTGGTCATATTGAGTGTAGTTTATAAAAACTGCAGCCCAAAAGATTTGGAAAATAACAGAATGGACTATCCATAATCTAAATGTATTTTGGGAGTGGGGGAATAACATTCAAAGTAATTCAGAATTTCTGCATTTAGTGTTTGAAGAAATGGATCTAAGTACAAAACACTCTGTCTGCCTGATAAAACATCCTTTTAAGTTCAGAAGTTACAGTGTTGTGGCACCTGGCTGCATTGGTCAGATAGTAGCTTAATTTCAATCCACTGCTGAAAACTACAGCACTGCAAGCATGAGAAAGAACACTATCAGAGTATTCAGCTACATTTCTCAGAAATTCAGATGTTGCAATCAAACTGCTGCAAACTAGCTCACACAATGAAAAGGCAGCATAATTAATGATGACCCCGCATTTGTGAACTTGTATTTATGTAATCCAATCCTTTCTCATTGCTTTGAATGAAATAAAAGAAAGAAGTCACGTAATTGGACTCATTTAAACCCACAGATTAATATCTCTTATTTCATGTTTCATGTTCCTCCCAACGTAGAAACTATTAGATAAGCTTATCAAAGCCAAATATTTTATTATAATTTCATATGAATTGTTAATGAATTTTTCATATTAACAGTTACTATTAAAGCTAGAGTAAAAATCACCAATCAAGATTTCCTCAGGCTATCAAGACCGGCTTTAAGAGAAAAAAAACAAGGGAGGGGAACTTGCAGAATAAGGCTTCTGGAATTCTTTCCAATCCCTTGCAATAGCTTCACTTTGGATAACATGACTGGGAATGAGAAGGGAAGAGACTTAGTACTGACAAATCAGTAACATTCAGGACCATTACTCAATTGCTTTCTCTATTGGTGTGCATTGGGGACATGTTCTCTACAGCCATAATTATTTCCTTCCTCCCTCCCTTCCTTCCCTCCCTCCCTCCCTCCCTCCCTCTCACCTTCCCTCCCCCACATCAAATTTGGTCCTATTTTGTTCTGATTTTGAAAAGTTACTCTGCTGACAGAGAAAGTCCAATACATCACTCTTGTTGTAACATTTCACTCTAGCTAGTCCTGCAGAAAGTTGAAAAGAAATGATGTAAAGGGATTTGAGGCGTCCTCTGTCAGCAGAAAAACAGCAGTATTATTGTGCTGCAGCTATAAAAAGAGAAAAATCAGCTGCTATTTAATAATTCCATAATGTGAGTCTCAGCATATGGCATTTTGTGTGAAGCTGGAATGACTCATTTTGAAAGGGATATTACAAAACTAGAGAGAAGATGTGGAAAACCAAGAAAAAAAGCATATTGAGCATGAATGAAAAGAGAAGAAATAGTAAGAGATTACCCAAAAAGTCATAAAAAGACAGAAAAGCAATTGCATATCCGTTGGTTATGGGGCACCTCACTGATACATTTCAACAAATCCAAGTTCTTCCACTTATGAGTCCTTAGTTACATGGGTATTAAATATACATATTGTAAAATTATCAAGTACCCCCTTTTAAACATACAAGCAGGAAAGGTAGAAGTGAGAAATGCTACATATTTTCCATGAGGGAAGCCATAAACCTCTGGCTTCATAGCCTTGAATTACAAAATTGTATTTCCTGTTTATGGCATGTTTCCAGGCCCCTCAACCATTAATTACTGATAACAAGGCAGGAAACAATGGGGAACAGAAAGCGGGTTAGATTTATTTATTTTTCCTGCGGCATTGCCAGCTACTCGTGAAGAGCTGTCAAAAAAAGGCTTCAAAGCAAACAGAAAAGGGAGAAAGTCATAATGCTTTGCTAAGAGTGGGGTTGTAGGCAGCTCACCTGTTGACCATTTTGAACATTTCCTCTGTAAAGGGAAACCAAAGCAGCAGCCCATGTGTCCACCAGCCCATTTGACCCCCCAAGTCCGTCGTCTCCCCTCTAGCAGACCCAGGACAAGACCAAGGCAGACCTCTGTGTCAGCTCTTTCAAAGGGCTCTGTTAGCTATGGCAAAGCAGCCTCTCAGAACACAATGCATCTGTTGATGGCCATTGCAAGGTGGGAGGTATGGCTGGGCCAGTCTCCCGATAGGCAGGGAATGCTTTGAATAACTTGTTCGTTTCAGTGGTTTATTCCTCCCAGCACTACAAACAAACACATGCACGTCTTTTCTGATTGTGTTTCAAATGCCAGGCAACACATTCTCAGCATTCTGAGCTTTGGTGGGTGGTGGTGGAAAACTCAAAACCTTTTTATACAGTTGGTTCGGATTCCCCTTTGGAAACCTCGTAACTTTTGAGTTGGCATACGTTGCAAATTAGGCAAATGAGAACTGCTGTTTATGCAACACAACTTGCCTCCAGAAGCTTGTGAATGCTGCAACACTGGAAGTTTTTAAGAAGCTGTTGAATAACCATTTGACTGAAGTGGTTAGGTTTCCTGCCGAGGCAGGGGGTTGGACTAGAAGACCTCCAAGGTCTCTTCCAACTCTGTTATTCTACTGTATATTCTAAATCATATCCATTGCTACTCTCACTCACACTAATTTGACAATTTCTGGCTCTTTAATTGGAAACAATGAAAAGATACAGCACAATATCTAGCTTTTTCATCATTAAAGAGATATTCCTCTCTTTTATTCGGTACCAGAAAAGCTTTTTATAGGCTGTCTTCTAAAAACAGAGCAACTTCATGTAAGCCACCATGTATCACACTGCTAGCTAGATTAACAATCTTATACTTCCAAAGGTCAGCAATGTTTATATTAGGTTTATTTTAGGTATTTTGTATATAGCTGAAATTGGGCAATGTACGTTCAGATTTAAGAATGAGGGTTTATAGAAATATACCATCAGAAATATAATTCTGGTCATCATTGGAACTATGAGTTGAGGTTCTTACTCAGAGGGATAGAGTGGGGGAATGTAGCCTTGCTCAAAGAGAGAGAGAGAGAGAACCTCATAACTGGGACAATGTATTGAGAACCCATTCTTTATCAAAAGTTGGAATAAAAATATTTGCTTGTTTGTTTCCCTGCTCAAGATGGGGAAAACCACAACTAAGCTATTTGGCAAAGGAGAGTAAAAAATAACCACACTAGTAAGAGATCTTCATTCTAAATGTATTTGCCATAGGCATTAAGTCAAACCTGGCATTAACCATAGCTGAGGTATTTATCCAAAGCTGCAGGTTGATGGAGGAAAATAGAAGAAGGTAATGGATAGGATCAAAGAGAACAGAGGTGCTACAGAGAGCAGAATCTGTAAGAATGCCTTAGAACTGGACCACACATGACACTACAGTGGATGTAGCTTGTCCAACATATCATAGCTTATACCTAAGTAAACATATCTTGAATGGTGTAAACAAAAGGCTAAAGTACTGAAAGCATCCCGGAATAATAAAGCTGCCATAATGAATTTACCCTGGAACTAACTTCTGAGAAGTCTTTTCTACACTGCTTTGAAAAGGCTCTCCATTGATATGCCTGTTGGTAATTAACAGCTGCAGATGGGTTCTGGTTTCCCTGTTTAGCTACTAAGGCCAATATGTTGAATAATCTGAAGTTCTAGGCAAGGATTGGAGAGGCTGATTAAGTACAAAACTCAGGGTGGATGGCCTTAAAGATAATTTAGTAATCCCTCTCATCTCACCTGCCTGCTTTGGATGGTTGTTTGAAAAGAAAAAAGGCACACTTTATTTTTTGGAGGAAGAGGTAGGAGTCAGATTCAAGGAGGCTGTTTAAAGAAGCTGGGTTTATGTTGTTAAATAATTGATTATGCAATGAGATCAGGCAAAAAGAAATAGATCTTATGAGGATTGGTACAGCTTCAGGGGAGGATTTCCCAAGGAAGATCCATGAAGCTTGGAAGTAGCTGCTCAATGTAGCACATTGCAACCTTTAAAAAAAAATGCAACACTCCAGCAGCCTGTGCCACTAACAGAAGTTCTTCCAGTTAATTTTTTTTAATTGCCCAAATGTCCTGCCTCCTTTACAGAATTCTAGCAAGTATCCAGATGCTGCTGCCCAACATCTCTTTTCATTGCTTCTTCCATCATTTCAGATAAATAAATAAAATGACTACAAAGTTGTAAAATGGGTAGATTGGAGATTATCTATCAGGAGGCGTTGTTTTACAGCTTTATAGCCATGTTATGAAAACTTTCCAATGACAAGTCATTCATAACTTTCTCTTTCTTTCTCAAGTCTTGGGATTCAGTGGAAATAGTAATTGAGCTGCTCTCAACAGACCTCCTGAACCTGGCATCCCACCCCCCACCCCCC